ACATATAACCTTCAGAGTTATCTATCCCCCACACATCACAGCCATTAGTAGAGTCCTTACCTCCACAGGCAACTGCTGTCCAGAGCACACCCATAAACCACAAATTCTGATTGCTGTCCAATGATGGGATTTCATCAAGTCTGGGGCTGAGAGATAGCAGGCTCTGGCCTATATCAGTGCTCCCTTACAACAGAGGTTCCTCTAGCACGGCTGCTACGGAGCATTATGTTAAACATGAGAAATAGAAACTGAGAGGTGCTCAAGGAAGGGAAATATTTATGTTACCACAAATGTCCAAAAGGCACCCTAGCTTAGGAGTTTATAACTGCAATCATCTCCCCAAGGGTCTATGCTGCCAACTTGAAACTTCAAGTATACAACTGCTGCTTCTGTCATACCAGCATAAGTCCCTTTAGACCGGGTAGTCAGTCAGACCCTTCAGGTTGGCCCCATCATCCCAGCTACCTGCAGCCTAGAGTTTCTGAAGTTCTGCCTACTGTAACCTTGAGAGACACAAAGAAGCAAATCCTATGAACTTCTATTTATGCAATCACTCTCAACACTCTGGTGGACACTAAGCAGAGACCTGAGCCCTTTTTGATGAAACTTAAGTTCTAACTCATCCAATCTTCCACTTGTTTCAGTTTTGTCTGGGCCAGGATACCACTAGTCAAATCCCCAAACAACAAGAAATTGGAAAGAAGCTCTTGATTTTTGAGTTCTAAACATCATTTGGGTTACCCCCAATCACCAGCTCACTGCCTTTGGTTTAAGTGTCAACTCTATATCACAACAGCCAAATCCAGAAACCATCTCTCTCCTTGACTTGGCAATATTCTGAATACTTTACAATTAGCTGCAGGTAACAAAACAAGGCAGGTGTGGAAGGAACATAAATACTCTGATCACCAGGGGAAAAGAATAAAAATACAAATGTGGAAGATACCCTATAGTTTTGAAACAAAATATACAGCATTAGAGAACAGTGCTGGAGAATAAAATGTACAGTAAACTCAACAAAAAAGGAAGAAGGAGAAGAAGAAATACAGCAGCAATACTTTTATTTATTATGCAGGTTACTATAATAGGAAAAGAGGGAAGAAGAAATCTCTTAAGACTATTTGGAAGTGAAAGGTAGGAAGGTGTACACTAGAAACAGGTCAGCATCATCACATACACAGAAATGGAATGCAGCCATAAAAACCAATGCACACAGGCAATGTAATAAGTTGGAAATTGTATGTGCTGAAGCTTCTTATCTTTTAAATGCACAAACAGTTTGCACGTTGCTGCATTACATGAGGAAGATATGTGGCATGTCAACACTTCTTCTCCCAATCTCCCATGATAAGTTAAATCAGTGATGGGGCTTGAGAGGGTGGGACAGGTTTGGAAAAAATCCAGGAGAAAAAGTTTTTAAAAAATCTCTGTCTCAGCAAAAGTTTTCATTAAAATTTTAGACAAATGATCCCTGTGTCCTTCTCTCTTGCTGCCTGGGGCTCCATGCTATTTCTATGCAAATAACAACCTCGTGGTTTATATCTTATTATTTCCACCGGAGCTGCAGCGACATGACCTGAGACGTGTAAGAGGTGGGATGGGGGGAGGGATGGAAAGGAGAGAGAGACAGAGAGAGGGAGAGAGAGATGGAGTGGGTGTTCACTCAAGTGTGAAAAAATATTGTCAGGAGTGAGCGTCAAGAACAAAAAAAAATTGCAGGGATAACGTGTTTATTTCAGTCCCCCCACCCCCACCCTTGCAAACCAGCACCTTTTAAAATTCATTGGGCATCAGGCGATCATGCACAATCCATCTGCTTTCACTTTATCATTTGCATTTCATGCCTCCTGGCTTTTGATGTGCTGATACTTTGATGCAGTCAGGAGATTCGCATTATCATTATTTCAATTTTCAAAGGGGTCAACGGGATCAGCACTTGCACACACAAAATCTTTTTTTCCCTATAACCTCTGTAAACCCCTTTCTTATTCTTCACCCTAATGTTTAACATAAAGGATAAAGACTCCAAAAGGTGAGTATCAGATGTTTACAGGCTGATACTGTATATAAGCCTGCATGTACCACCTACATTTCCACGCTGTACACAGGTACACAAATACAGTGAGCAAATGGTCAAGGTTTAAAATGAAGCCGCACAGTACTTCAAGCACACAAAGGCTTTCTCACACATGAACACTCTGAGAGAAGCACATTCAGAAAAAAAAGAGTGGAATCTACAAGCAAGACATAGAAACAAAGATAATCAACTCACATGAAAGACATACACTAAGAGTGACTAGCACAACTCTGGAGTAAGTGAGATAGAAAGAAATGTACACAGAGAACAGTGAGCAGAGACTAGAAAGAGTAAGGATGTTAGAAGACAGTATTTGGGAGTGAGTCTGAGGAAGCAATCTGAGACAGGGAGCTCTCTGATAGCTTTCCTTTTCATTCTGAGAAGCAAGGGGGCCAAAAGGACATTCCTAATGAACTTGCATGAAATTGGTTGTTTTTCTAGCAGCAAGACTTTGTACTTAAGAGGTGCAGACATGAAGAAAGAAAAGCAGGTGGAGCAGGATTAAGTAACTTCTACAAAGAACACTCCCTTCAACCAAATGATCACATTCTTCTGGAAACAAGCTACAACAGAGCCTCCCCTCGGTAACTGGGCCTTTCTCTAACAAGTAGCCCTATAGGCTAGGGAAAAGAATACTGAATTTGATCAAAACAGATTTTAAGAAAGAAACCTCTAGTGTTTTCTTCTTGTCACAAATGAAATTAACTAACAAGATGCATGCGAGTCCCTCAAAACAGATTGCTGTTACAACAATCTGTGTATGTAACATACTGGGGTGTGTATGTGTGTGTGTATCTGTGTGTGCACGCGCACACACTAATGTAACCATGTGCACTTCAGAGACACAATCTCTGTCCACATAAGAAAACATCACAGAAATAAAGGGGCATGTGTCATTTTAAAATTCTATCCTCATAGAACATGGTGTCTAAAACTCTCTTCAATGTTCATCAAAATTTCATTCTTAGATAATATCTAAAGAGCAACTTAAAAAATTAAGATTCTCAGCAATTTTTCTCAGTGCAATAATCTTCAATGGTGGCAGTTCTTTACTTTCATTTCCAGTCTGGTACTGCTTTGCCTTTCCTTAGAAAGAAAAGCAAATCCAAAGGACACAGTTCATAGGAAGGCAGAGAACAAGCTCCCACATCAAACAATCCCCGTAATTTCTGATATTCCCTCAAGCTAATTAGACAATGAAATTATCTACCATTTTTTTTAAGTGTGAAGGATAGGATTTCCACCTAGTCCCTATTATTTCATTAAAAACCAAGCCTTAAGAAAAAAATTAAAAAGCACTTCTACTATACAAGTGTTCTTTTTCAGAGATTTCTCAAAATAGCAAAATTGTACATCCTTAACCCCCGATCAGTATTTAATCTATACTGCAAAGCCAAGGGGCATGAACATAGTTTCCAGTACATCGTGGCATGTGTATAACTCTACAAAAGCAGTCACCAAGCCACGTAAGTGAGATCCATGAAAACCTACACTTTGTGTCAAGTACTTGTATGTTTTCTTTAGCTTCACAAAATAAAGGTGCAAAATAACACCCCTCTTCTGCAGACAAGAAAGATGTAGAGCTGAAGGTTATACACTTATACAATGTAATCCAAGTAATCTCAAACTATTCCAAACAAATTCCATACATATATTTCCTGCTAGAGAGAAAATAAAGTCCAGATGCCAAAAGTGTATGTGAGAGACAGAGATACTGAGGGAAGAGGTTTCACTGTCTTGTTAGTTTCACTCTCTTTTACACCTTTTAGAAGAGTCTTACAAGCGTATATGGATCACTACACTCTGAAGGTACATGTCTTGGTTTTTCCTTCCTCAGCAATCCATCTATGCACCCCAACCATTTTACCACTCATTATTTACTGAGCACTTCCGCTACGCAAGTGTTCTTTTTCAGAGGTATATTTATAAATTTCTCAAAACATTACAACTGCACATCCCCAATACTTTGGCCAGTGTTAAAATTCATACTGTAGAGTTAAAACACACACACACACACACACACACACACACACACACACACACAAAAAAAAAAAAACAAAAGCCAGTACACTTAGGACATGATGGCTTCCTATGCAAGACCATATCTCTTCACATATCAAAGGCTGGGACAAAACAGAAGTACTCAATTCTTAGTCTTTCTAGACAGAGACTAGAATATGACCTCTTCAGAACAGAGGTGATGGAGGAAGGTCATTGGTTAAATAAAGAAACTGCCTTGGCCCCGATAGGACAGAAAATTAGGTAGGCGGAGTAAACAGAACAGAATGCTGGGAGGAAGAGGAAGTGAGCTCAGATGCCATGCCGCTCTCCTCTCCAGGGCAGACGCGATGTAGCTCCAACCCAGGATGGACGTAGGCTAGAATCTTCCCCGTAAGCGCACCTTGGGGTGTTACACACATAAATAGAAATGGGAAATCAAGATAAAAGAATTAGCCAGTAAGAAGCTAGAACAAATGGGCCAGGCAGTGTTTAAAAGAAAACAATTTGTGTGTTGTTATTTCTGGTGTAAAAGTGGCTGGGAGCTGAGCAGTGGGAAGCAGCCCACAGCTCTCACTACAGTTATATAGTTTTTTCTCTAATATATATATTATAATATATACCATAAATATCATATATCACACACATATAATACTTACATTTTTATATTATATTATGGATATATAATATATACACATACACACTCAAGACTAGGAATCATGCCTGGTACACAAAGAGGTACTCAAAATATTTAATTGAATAAAATGAATGAATGAATGAATGAATGGGTAAGTAAGTCAATGAGTAAACACTACAGGAGGAGCCACACTAGAGGCTGCCCTTTAGTCAGGACCTTGAATTAAAAAGTTACTCTTTTTAATCATTAAACAATTTCATATACTTGTTCCAAACCCTGGCAACTTACTTTGTTGAGGGCACCAGCTCCTGTCAGAATTAAGTGAGAATTCTCAACCTGGATTGTTCTTTGTCCCAGTCGGACAAGGTAAGCCCCGATACCAATGGCCCGGCATGTAACCTTTAAGAAAAGAATAAATTGTGTATGTCATTTATTTATGTCTTCTCCCATGCTTTAAAAACAAAGGTACAGATTAAATGTACAAAATTCACATGATCAAAAACCATTGTTTTTTTTACGAAGTCTAATAATAATATAAAACCCACCCAAATTCCAGGTCAAATAGGGACAAAATTCATTGAATAATTTAAGTATTAAATGCTCCAGGAGTCATGGTCCATTTATTTGTCTGTTTTACAGATGCCTGTCATCCCCATAACATGTACAAGTAAGATAAGTACTAAGAAGAAATTCAAACTGTTAAAAACCTGGTAGAATATTTAGAGAAATAAGAATGAAACTAAATGCTGAAATAAGCCTAGGTTTGTTTGGGAAATCCAGTAACTTATATCATCCCATGTTGCTGTTTCTTGTGTATGATTATGATAAATTTGTAGACGTATCATTTTCAGAAAATAATGCCATTTAGGACTGAATGGCAGTGAGAAAGGGTAGAAATAAACCCAGCCACACACCCAGCTGTTCAATAAATTTAATACCTTGTGGAGAATGGGGGATATAGCTCAATAGTAGAAAGCTCTTGCCTAGTTTATGTGAGGCCCTAGGTTCAATCCCTAGCACTGAAATGAATCATCATTCTAGGAATATTTACCAGGCTGATGGTGATGATCTCATCATAAGCCAATGAGGATTCTCCAGCAATCATTCCAGAACCCCGAAGGTTCTCTGCTCCAAGTCCTTCTTCTTTCCCAATAATATCAGTTATCTTATACCTATGGAATACAACCATGACAAATCACAAAGGTTAAATACAGTAATAGTAACTCATAAAGAGAACAACAATCATTATAAGACTATTTAATACAAATGCTTTAATTCTATGTATGTTCTTCCTGCCTAAGCCTCTCCAACTTAGCTTGGAACTACTTACTTGAGAGTGATATTCTGTGTCAGAAACAACAAAACATGGAATTTAGCAGCTATGTTAAAGTTCATTGGTACAAACAGTGGTATGGCTCTGGGGATAAAACTTTCTGTAAGTGGGGATTATAATATATAAGATATGGGAGACATGACAGTTAAAGCAACAAAACGGTATGACACATCTCAGATTTTAAAAGCCCTTTCTTACATATTTGGAAACATTTAAAATACCAGGGCCACAGGGCGGCGGTGGCACATGCCTTTAATCCCAGCACTAGTGAGGCAGAGGCAAGCAGATCAAGCCCAGCCTGATCTACAAGAGTTAGTTCCAGGACAGAGAAATCCTGTCTCAAAAAATGAAAGAAAGAAAGAAAGAAAGAAAGAAAGAAAGAAAGAAGGGAGGGANAGGGAGGGAGGGAGGGAGGGAGGGAGGGAGGGAGGGAGGGAGGGAGGGAGGAAGGAAGGAAGGAAAGCAAGCCAATATATGCCCATAAACACTAAATAATCTTTGACAATTTTAAATAGGAATAAAAAGTACAAATAAAGAGGAAGTGGGTATTCTCATCCCTCTCCTTTCCAAAGATTATAATAAAGAGGAAGGTCAAAACGATGTGTCCCCCTACACATAGCAAGTATACTGGCAAGGGGTCCTGGCGATGGTTCTATGAAGGGACTGTTGTGATGTATGCACAAGTGAAATGCTGACAAGGTGCCGAGAAAGCAGACAGTGGGTCTAGTGGGAGCCACTCATCTGTCTTCCCAGCAGGGGTTAGGAGGGATAGCTGACAATGGTAAATGGGAGATGGGGAACAGAGTTAATAAAAGGAAGGATCCACAGCACCATACATACACATGCACAAATATACATGCACACACATACACGTAAAGTACAAGGCTGGAGGCAGAGATAGGCATTAATGATTTATTGTTCTTGGCTCAGGGCAAGAATTATGTTTTATTTTAACTTTCATAAGCTGAAATAATGAAATTACGACTCCATAATGGCTCTTAAACTCCCCATCCTTGTATTTTTCTGCTTCTTTCTGTCGATCCCTCCACTGATTCCCTTTCTTTGTCTTAGCTGTAGTCTGTGACTGTATCTCTGCTTCTCAGATTGCTCTAAGCTTTCTATTTTTAGCCTCTCCCAATACCAAGTTATTCCCACTTTTTTTTTCTCCTCTTTATATCTAGACTTCAGATTCTAGAGTTATGTCATAAATAAAGCTAATCTTCCTTTAGAAAGAGACATGAAGAAGCTGGCAAAACTCTACTCACTATACCCAAGGCATCCCAAGGCACCACAGTGAACCCCTAGGGACACTGGAGTATATTTTTAGAAAAGTACTATGACATATGATATCTGTTAGACCCTGTGTGAATGATTAGCTTTAGGAAGCTCAGAGATCACCATAAGATAGAATACTGTCAAAAGAAATGCAGCACTATCTTTACAAAGCCAGGTTTTCAGTTTCTGTGGAACAAATGCAAGCTTTCACAAAAACCAAGGAAGTATAAGAAGTGAGGGTGGTTATATGCAAGGTGACTTCAAGGTCTAAATAGTCTGCAAACACAGTTAAGACACTATTAATAAGTTATTGTAATTATTTAAGAATTAGTTAGGTACTAGTCTAAGACGTTAAAAGTAGAGGTATGAGGGACAGGAATTCAAGACCATCCTTAGCTGCATAGTGGCTTCAAGGCTAGCCTGAGGTACAGAACCCTATTTCAACGCTCCCCAAGTCCCTACCCAGAAAAGCAAAAATGAGATATTTCCCCCAATTCACATGCATTACTTTATTCAAATGATCATTAACATCATAGGATAGAAACATATTAGGATGCTGTTTGCATTTAACTACTTAATTAAAAAAATTAGTTCTCTGTTTAGTTTAGAAGTGCTCTAAAAATATTTTATGATACTGAAGGTGCCATGAGCCTGGTAGTGGTGGCACACACCTTTAATTCCAGCACTCTGGAGGCAGAGGCAGGTGGATCTCTATGAGCTCGAGGCCAGGATGGTCTACAGAGCAAATTCCAAAACAGCCAAGGCTATACAGAAAAACCCTGTCTTGAAAAAAAAAAAAAAACAAGCAAACAACAAACAAAAAAATCCCAAATATGCCGTGAACTAAGGAAGTCTGAAAACCTATGGCATAGCCTATATGAAGAAACTATAAAACATGAAAAAGAATACACTTCAATAAATAGAAAAACATGACATGCTTCTTTTTGGGAAATTAAACAGAAAGATGTCAGATCCTTATAAATGATATATAAAACCAATACAATCCAAATTAAAGTCACTATGGAAAGTTTTTGGTGATCAAAACATGTACTAGGCCATGGGTTTGTTTTCCAGTATCACAAAATTAAAAAACCATATCAGCTAATTACAACTTGAAAAAAAAAGTGAGAAATACATCTAATAACAATAGTTAAATAGTGTGGAATGACTCAAGAATATAAGAATTAATCAATAAATAGTGCAGCAATTAACACTGTAGAAAATACTTTCAGAGAGGTTATCAAAACGTTCAAGCCTCGCTGGTAATCAAAATTGCAAGATAAAGTTGCTGTTCTTAAAATATTCATTATTGTAATATAGTAATTATTGTTTTATTAACAATAACTAAAACATAGTGATGACAGAGCACAGTTAGAACAGAGGAAAGAAGTCCTACCACATACTCAATGACCGAGAATGCAGATCTTGGGAGGGCAATTTGAAAAATTTTAAAGACCTTTTAATATCAACTTTTGACCTGTGAATATCTAGAAATTAATCCAAAGGGTTATACAGCACCCTGTGTTTAACATCCCCTCCCCTCCCATTCTTGCAGTTTATATTCAAACACTTGATGCTGTTGTATTCAACTACTTACACAGAAACATCAGTGTATACTCTAGCTTATGGATATAGTGGGAAGAAAGTTGGCATAGTGAGGGTACCATGGACAAAGAAAGCTTGAGAACCTAATTAGGAACAGTCCTAAAAGCGTATGTAAAAAAATACTCAGCTCAAAGATGCAATAGTGAAAAGCTGGAAATGGCCTGATTTTCAAAGATAATATATTTATTATGATGAAATGTTATGCAACTATTAAACTTCATGTTTATTTCGGAAGGAAGATTAGGTTTATTTGTAATGTAACCCTAATCTAAATATAAGAAATTCCCCTAAAAAATTTTTAGTTCAAAGGATAAATTGAAAAGAAATTCTTATCTGCTATAGTCCCAATTACATAGAAAGAAAAGATAACAAATATAGAAATGACAGTAAGAATAATATAAATTCATAATTGTGGCTTCAGGGTAGGCTTGTGGCTGGTGTTTTACTTTTTGTTCAGATTTACACATTTCATAGTTTCTCAAATGAGTAAATAATATAAATATTACCTAAAAGCCTCCATCAATCGCAGGGCTCTCCAGATAATAAGTAGTAAAGCTAAGGCACAAATCTTAACATGTCTAGATTGTACAAGAGTCATTCAAAGATGCAGAGCACAAAAGTAAGGAAATAATCTCTTTTCTTTGAGACTCATGGCCAAATTCATCTGAAATATAAATACCCACCTGGATTCACCTTCATCCTCTACATGTTCACAGTGGACAGAATTCAGGGCACTGACTCTTTTATAGTCCTGGGGTGTCAGATATAAATACTTGTAACCCTATAAAGCAAAAACAGTTTTTAACTCATTGTCTGTCATTTTCACATAACCAAAACAGTCAAAAATATAATGAAGCTTGTTCCAAAATGATAAAAAAAAAAGCCTGCTTTAAAATGATAAATCATTTGAGTTATTGTCTAACAGAATACTAGCATAGGCAGTTTGGAAAATGAAGTTCCTATATTTTAGTCACTGACTGTCTACCCATGAAACAAGATACCCTATAGTTACAATTTCAGGTATGTTCCATTCATTTCACTCTTCAATAGGGTTAAAGGGTCATTTTCAGGTCTTTAGTGACACTTCTATTAGATATATCAACATGGGATTCAGAAACTGTAAATTACTGCTCTTCACGCAAATTCATATCATTGTCAAAATAGAGAGGGGTAAAGAATGAATGAAAGGATCACAAATCTGAGAGATTAATATTGAAACCAGAAGTCTAAGCAGTACAAACAGTCTGAGCACAAAATTCATACTTTTGCATTTTTCAATAAATAAATTCTATTTATATTCAAAAACTATTAATACTTAGTGGTTTATTTGCATGCATACACATACAAACTTATAGTTAAGGCAGAGAACCATGTTATATATGTTTAACATGCTATTTGTATTTATAAATTAGCATTTTTTGTACACTAAAATGTGGCACAACCATCATGACTAATTCTGAGTTCTTTCATTACCCAAAAGAAACCCAAACTTGCTAGTGATCACTACTGATTTCCATATACTTTATAGGTGACATTTAATGAACTATAATTTACATTTACTAAAATCCACTTGTAATCCAAAATTACATTTACTAAAATATACTTAGTTATAAACTTTCATTTTTGAGGCACTGTTTGACTGTGCTTCCCAGGCTGGCCTTAGCATCTAGAGGACTTAGATCACAGATTTCAGCAACAATACCTGGATTTAGTTATTATAATCTGATGAGTTTTGACAAATGTATATACTTATGTAAGCACCACCACAATAAAAATAAGGAAAATTTTTATTATACCTTGAAATAGTCTTAAATATATGAAAAGTAGGTAGGAAAAGAAACCAAGAAAAAGGAGCCATGAAGGTATATAGAAAAGCAAGAGAAGAAGCATTTTAAAAGATAAAGCAGAACAATGGTGTCAAATGCCGCCTGATCACCAAATAAATACTAAGATAAGGACTGAGAATTCGATGTCAAATTTAAAACACACAATTTTTGGTGACCTTGATAAAAGTAACTCAATTATAATGGTTCAGGTGTGAGCTTCACAGAAGGGGGCTCAAGAAAATGAGAAGAGAGCCTGGAGATAGAGCAGACAACTCTTTGAAGAAGTTTTGCTCTAAAGGAAAGAAGGGTGGGAGTGAGTTACTGGAGGGAAACGTGTCTGTATGTCAAGGGGAGTTCCAGGAGAGAGGGAAAAGGTGATGATGAGCCAGAACTGAGAAGATCAAGGGTATAAATGGAGAGATGGTTTAAGAAGGGGTAGGGATTGTGCAATTAATTAAAGCTCAGGATTAAGGTAGAGAGGAGTGGAGGCAGACACAGGAAGTGCTCATCTGTACAGCAAGCCAGTTTTTTGGCTTGCTTTTATTGTCTTGTAGTACTGGGGACAAACCTGGCATGGAAGTACCTTGGGAAGCAAGGACTAATACTGAGTAGGAAAGAAGGTAAGGAGGGCTGGAGTGATGGCTCAGTGGTTAAGAGCATTGACTGTTTTTCCAGGGGACCTGAGTTCAATTCCCAGCAACCACATGGTGGCTCACAACCATCTGTAGTGAGATCTGGCACCCTCTTCTGGCCTGCAGGCATACATGGAGGCAGAATGTTGTATACATAATAAATAAATAAAATCTTTTTAAAAGAAAGAAAGAAAGAAAGAAAGAAAGAAAGAAAGAAAGAAAGAAAGAAAGAAAGAAAGGAAGGAAGGAAAGAGGATGGGGAGGGCCTTAGGAAAGAGGAGATGTGAAACCGTTATCCAAGAGTTTAAAAGGCTAAGATTTAAAAAGTAGGATGAGTCAGAGAACATTTTACTCCATTTATGTTCAGTTGCACAAGTACACATGTGGAGGAAGTAGACAAAGTTAGTTTTAAAAAAGGTTTTACTTCTAAAAGGATAGAGTAAACAGAATGAACAGAAACACAAAAAGGTGACAATTATAATGTTATGATGAACCTTGGGATTTAAAGAAGTTGAATGAGCCAGGTACAGGTCTTAATTCCAGCAGAGGCAGGTAGACCTCTGTAAATTCAAGGACAACAGGGTCAATATGGGGCATCCCAGACAAGCTAAAGTTCCATAAAGAAATCTGTCTCAAAACAAAACAACAACAACAAAACAATAAAAACCGACCAAACAAGTTGAATGAAAGAGTGGGGAATGGAAGGAACAAAAAAGTAGTAGAATTACAGTATTTGTAGGCTTAAAGGACTGTTAGATTTTGAGTACTATAGGAAAACTGGGTACATGGAACACATATGATGATTTTTTTGCTAGTCCAATTCTTGTTCCACTGTTAGTTGCTACATAAGTGTGTGTGATTCCTTCTGCTCTGGTGAGTTCAGAAGCTTTGAGGACAATAGGATGGAAGGGTAGCAAAGAGAGATGCTTGAAATATATTCTAGAGAAACTGAGCAAGGATGGGACCATTAGAGGAGAGAATCTTTCCCAGTTATGAGAAGGATTATCTATGTGAGTATAGCAATTCCCAAAAATTAATACAGGACTAAGCAACATTGGAGAAAGTAACACTATACTTAGAATTAAAAGATGCAAAATAGAAGAGGCGGCTCAGGGGTTAAAAGTGCTTATTGCAAGCTGGGAAGGTTGTGGCACATGCCTTTAATCCCAGAACTTGGGAGCAGAGACAGGTTTGAGTTTGTGAGTTTGGGGCCAGCTTGGTCTATAAAGTGAGTTCCAGGACAGCCAGGGCTGTTTCATAGAGAAATCTTGTCTCAAACCAACCAACCAACAAACAAAAAAGCCAAAACAACAACAGAAAAACTGCTTATTGCTACTGCTCTTGCAGAGCCCAGGTTCAATTCCTAGTATCTATATGGTAGCGTACAAGTGGCTGTGACTCCACTTCCAGAGGCTCCAACATCCTCTTTTGTTGTCCACAGGTACATGTACACACATGGTATACATATAGATATACCAGATGCACACACATTTTATTTGTATAAAATAAATAAATTTGGGGACTGGAGAAGACCAGATTTCAATTCCCAAATCTATGTTGGGCAGCGCACAACAGCCTGTAACTCCAGCTCCAACTCCAGGGCATCTGATACCCTCTTCTGGCCTTCGATGGTACCTGCATAGATGCATAATCCACCCCCTCCCTTACACAATAAAAAAATTAGATAAATCATGCTTTTTAAAAGATGTAAAGAAAAAGAGGCTATGATCAAAGGGTAGGGAATAAGAAGAAGTAGCGTGAAAACATGAGACTATAAGATGGGATTCCCTCCACCTCCCAGGGAAAAGGGTCTGAAAGTGGCAATGAGAATTAAAAAATAGTGTTCCCCCTCCAGGTAAATAACACAAGGGAAGAAGAAAACAGCTGCTACTTAGGAATTAAACAAGGAATTAGTGTCTCTAGAGTCAGTTTCCAAGTAGAAAAGCAGGTTTTTGAAGAACTGATGATGTAAGAGATTTTGTTGATGACTGGTGTAACTGCTCCCAGAAACCACAGTGGAATATTTTAAAGATAGATATTTTGGGTTTACCATGTGTCATACTAAATGCACTGTTATTAGTTCATCTAAGGTTCAGCCACAAAAACAGTCACCTGTAAAAAAACTGGAGAAAAAAACCAGATGAACACGCTGAAAGTCTGTCTCTAACATGCAGTCTTTAGTTTGGATGCTGTCTGTCTCTCAGTGTGAAGACTGAAGCCTTGAGCATTCAAAGCAAGCTCTTAAGGAAGGTGGTTTTCTCGTTTTGCTTTAAATTACATTTATTATGTGTATTATATGAAGGGGTATAGGTGTGCATGTAGTGGTCAGAGAACTTATGATAAATGACTCTTTCCTTCTACCAAGTGATCCTGGGGATTGGACTCGGGTCTTTAGGGCTGGCAGCATCCACCTTACTTTCAGCCACCTTACTGGGCGCTAAGGAATTTTCTTAAGTAATTTTGTAAATGCTGTCTTTTAAACTTAAATCTTTTCCTTTCTTCCTCTCACATACACGAACATATCCCCATGCATAAACAAACAGAGTCATGAAGTGCTATCTCCTTGTAGGCTGTACCTTGTAGGGATCCTCTGGATCTACCCAGGCCACATGGAACATATGACGGATTTCTTCTGCCAGTCCAATTCTAGCTCCACTGTTAGCTGCCACATAGATGCGTGGGATACCTTCTGCCCTGGCAAGTTCAGAAGCTCTGAGAAACAGCAAATCCTCTTGAGGCCCAAAGGACCCAATCCGATATGTAATGTCATTGCCAATGACGATGATATCCCGGCCATCTGGATATTCAGGGCTTTTAAGGCTCATTTTCCAAGCTACCATGCCAATCTAAAAAAGACAGAAACAAATGAATAGAGCGTCATACATGCATTTATTTTTCAAGTTCTTCGAGGATAAGAAGACACTAGATTTAGGCACATCCTTCGAAGATAGGCATTGTGAAAGAACAAAATTACTTCTTGGAAAGCAGAAAAATATTCTAGGACACTGCTTCACATTATTACAGTATATCCCAAAGTTGTCTCAATTCTTCAGTGCAATTACTTAAAGAAAATGAAAAAAACTCCACATCTAAATGCACTCAAGATTACATGTTGAAGAATGTTATGGCAGTGGAGGTAAGTCTAGAATGTCCATTTTACCAAACTGTACATTAAGACACTATATTCAGCTTTTTAGTGAGATTTGTTTCAAGAAATATTTAGCACATAAGGGATAGAAAGAACATCACTTCTCACAGACTGTCCAACTTTTGTGATCCGAAGCCCTTGTGCTCTCTACTCTAGGAAAGACAGAGAGATTCTTCACTGGCTTGGTCCAGGTGTTTTCCATTTCTGCAAGGATTTTCTATCACTCAGCACTGTATCTATGAGAGCAACTCTTGCTGCTTTCTTCAGCTCCAGAAAACCAAAGGACGCACAGAGCTAATCTCTTGATGCACTATGATGTATGTAAATCTCTGCTCTCTGTTCAGTGGCATCTGACCAGCCACACAAACAAATGATATAGACTTGACAGTGGTGCCATGTCTCTTTTCAAACTCTCACAGCCCTCTCCTTTTTAATCCCCTTGTACATGAGAGCTACTCAATCGTACTTGTTCATTCTCTAGTCCCATTTCTTTCCTATTCACTTACACCTCACTTACAGCTGCAGTTTTTCATGTCTGCCTGTCTGTTTCCCATATACCTGGATAACTAATGCTTTCTATTCTTTTCTCCTCTTTTTTTTTTTTTTTCCTGTCTCCTGCTTCTCTCTCTACCCCCATACTACTCATGCCCAAACACAAAGCCTACCAGATGAGTCCAGCCACATCTACAGCACTGGTCCCTCATCCCCAGGCTGCTGCACATCACCTCATTGAGGAACTGGCCATCAGGAAGGGCCATTAACAGATGTAAATAGCAGCATCCCTGGAAAACCATATGCATCACCCAGACTCAACCCGGCCAGTGATCATAAGCTCTGAGTACACATTCCTCAATCCAATTGCACATCCACTCTAATCAGGCTGGTTGAGGCTTTTTACACAGTTATTTGTGATCCTCTGCATTAAGAAATAGGTATGAAACACCCAGTGATAAATATAAGCTATTTAATATATCATACCATTGGCCAAACACAAAATGAATGTAATATAGGAGAAAATTCCAATCACTTTCTGAGATAAGGTATCACTCTATCTGCTCATTAAAGACAAATAAGGGAAAAGAAGCCTACCATCAGAATGCGGCACAGAGAAACACCAAATATCAGTATAATCTTGGATTTCTTTTAAAGAAAAAAAAAAACCAAAACAACAAGAAGGCTTTAATATATTGCCTGTGTGAGAGAAATATTTTTTTCTAAAATTTCAAGTGCTGTCCTCACTAAACCACTCATTTATTTTTCAGAAAAAGAAAGCTATTCACTGTCTACTTTCTTTTAAGTGTATTTGTAGTTAGGAAGATTGGGTTTTACACCAAATTTTATGCTATATTAACCTTAGCAACCTAGGCTAGTTTATATACAAGCCCTGAAGAATCTACTTCAGCATTTGTGTGTTAATGTAAACATTGTGACTGTGTGGCCCTGGGCAGACAGATAATACTCTTATCTTTCCTTATTATCTAGGGACTCCTGTGCTACTTGGGCAGTCAGTTCAGCAACTGGTCAGGTCATTATGCTTGCAAAACTGACTTCTAATTAGGTGTCAACATAGCAGCACCAAGAACAATTTTCTTCCCCTCTTCAGTTTTATAAGGCAGATGGTGCTAGTTAGCTTTGGATGACCTGGAACTTGTTAAGTAGTCCAAGATGGCCTGAACTCACAATCCTGCTTCAGCCTCCTGTGTGTTGGGATTACTAACACACAACACCGCACCTGGCTTTACACATTATTCATTCTTTTATCAATTATCTTTCATCAATCAGCCCCTGCTCCCTACCACCTACATTAAACATACAACAGAATTGAGAATGTTAGGCCAGTCTCAGTACAGTAAGGGTCCTTACAAGAAAATATTCAGTTTGAGTTAACACAATGAACACATGAAGAAACATCTGTGGTTCAATTAACATTAAAATTTGGATTTCATTGCTAATCAAACAGTAGGACATATAAGGGTAAACAGAGGCTTTGGAGTCAACCAAATTTAGAACTAAATCAAGGATCTATCATTTATTAGCTTAGTGACCTTGGTGTGTGTGTGTGTGTGTGTGTGTGTGTGTGTGTAAAGATTTTTAAAATATATTTATTTATTTAATATGTATACAATATTCTGTCTGTGTGTATGCCTGCAGGCCAGAACAGGGCACCAGACCTCATTACAGACAGTTGTGAGCCACCATGTGGTTGCCAGGAATTGAACTCAGGACTTTTGGAAGAGCAGATAATGCTCTTAACAGCTGAGCCATCTCTCCAGCCCCACTTTGGTATATATTTAACTTTATTGAACTTCAATGTCCCTATATGAACAACCAAAGAACACCCATGAGTTTGATGAATTACTAGAAGCAGGACTCTGTATTAAATACAACATACAAAGCTTGCCCTTTTCTTTCCTCTCAATCAATCTGAATCCCACCTATTTTAAAGTTTCACTCAAACTCTATTTCCTTATTAAAGTTTCTCCATCCTAAATTGACTCCTGTATTCTCTGATCTCTTATTAAGTTCTTCATGCAGAGAATCTATATGATAATAGATAAGATACCATCTAGAAGTCATTAACTTTTTTTTTTTTTTGAGACAACTTTTTCCTTTGTAGCTCAGGTTGGTGCAGAACTCACTATGTAGCACTGGATTGTCCTCAAACTCATGGCAACCCTCCCATCTCAGTCTCTTGAATGCTGAGATTGCGTGCATGTCTAATCATGTACAGAATAGTCACTTCACTAAAACAATACTAGTTTGGAAATACCTGGAGAATAGTCAACACTATGGATTAAAACACTGGTCATGAGCAACATCAAAAGACTACAGATTAAGAAGACTAAGTGCCTTTAAGTGAATCTATAAAGTAAGAACAATGGCTGTTGTCAAATGAATACCTACCACATGCTACATTGCACTAGAAGTTGACAAACACGGACAATGATTAAGAGATTGAGTAAGTCAAGTTGTCTTGGATCAAATATCAACTTCATACTAGTTGTAAAACCTTGTACACAACAACCTTTGACAGTCTCAATTTCCCTAACGATAAAATGGAACTTTTCTTAAGGGATTATTGGGAAGAGCACATTAAAGTAGTACAGAATTTCATACACAAATACTCTCAATGTAGTTGTTATCATAATACAAAGGTGGCTGTTACTGCCATAAGGAAACTGGGGCAGAAAGTAACTTTTGAGAGGGGGAGTTTCCTGGGAAATCAACCCATGGCTCCACACATACTAGGTACACACTCTAACACTGAGCTATATTCTCAGCCCAGTACCTTGTTTTTATAGCTACTGTGAATTACTTATTTTTCAAGCTAAGGACAACAGAAAAAAAAAAAGCTCTTTCTTTACTAGAGAAATGATAGAAGTATATTTCAGAATATTATTATTGTCTTTAGCTAAATACAATATGGATTATGAATATTAATTATAGCACAAACATAAATGTCACTGACCCCTAACTGCAATGTGGTTTCATGGATTGGATCCTGGAATAGAAAAAGGATATTATTGGAAAAAAAAATAGTGAAGTTCACAACAAGTCTGTTTATTTTATAGAACTTCAGCAAGGATAATTTCTTCATTTTGAAAATTCTATGATTATATGATGTTAATACAAGGGGATATAAAGAATATAGTTCAGTGGTAGAGTGTACACTACAGCATTTATTTTATAGAACTGCAGCAATGATAATTTCTTCATTTTGAAAATTCTATGATTATATGATGTTAATACAAGGGGATATAAAGAGTATAGTTCAGTGGTAGAGTGTATACTACAGTACACACACACATGCATGCAAGTGTGTAGGGAAGCTGCATGAAAAAAGAACTCTATATTGTTTCTGTGACTCCTCTGAATCTACAATTATTTTAAAATAGTGCAAACCTGTAATTCAAGCATTCTGAAGACAAAAGCAGGGGGATTACAAACTTGTAGTTCCAGACTAGCCTGGGCTTTTATTATGTCTATTTCTCTCTGTGTACTTATGGAATAACTGTTTTCTTACACACACCTCACACACCTTTTTTAAAAAGCAAAGTAAACTGGATATTTGGGTCAATTGTTAGTATCCTGGACAGCATTACTCTGAATAGCATTACAATCATGAAACTGCTAAGTGCATGATCCTGACAGTCAAAACATTTAAGATGTTGACAGATGGAGCAAGAAGAGAATGGAGACAAAGTATAAAAAAGGACATGCTACTGGAATTTCATGTGGATAAAAGTTATGGGTGTGTCAAAGAGGAGAAAAGTACAGAGTTTTGGTCTTTGGCAAGGAAGAAATGTTTAGTCAATTTAAGAATTTTTGATTGTTTCTTTATTTCAGCCTCAAAAACAAAGTGATGGCTTTGAACATTATGAATACCTTGAAAACTATGATGTAGCACAAAACTAAAAAAGAGTTTAAAATACATGCATAATTGTAATAGGCAAAACAGTATGGTCATTAAGGATATAGATTCAGAAGTCAGAATCCTAGAAGTTGAGTGTGTTGGCACAAGCTTGTAATCTCAGTACTTGGGAGGCAAGAAGACACTACAAGATACCTCTATAAAACCAGCCTTTAGGAGAATGGTTTTAAATTCCAGGCCAATAAGGATTATAAAACAACAGCCTGAATCAAAACCAACAGAAAGAACTACCTTAGGCTGTTGGAAGTAGCATTTTGTTTTTAAAA